TAACTGTACCATCTCTTCTCTCATTGTGAGACCATCAGAATATCTAGCAATAATGGCCAACCGAGCATTTGACGTGACATCAGTAGTTTCATCAAGAGAAATCGAAAAATATTTACAACTATTTAAGTCTTTTTTTAAAATTGATGTACTTTTTTAAAGATCTATTATTCTGTCTTCGATAGTATTTCAACTGAGTGGTAACTCAGAAATTCTTTTAATAATATCATCTTTTTTTTTTTCATATCGTGAAATAGAGCTGGTGCACATCTTAGAAATGTTTCCGTAATAAATTCTCCGTCACTGAGGCCTTTTCCATGCTGAGCTATGGAGTGAGCAATACAGTAACTTGCTGATGTTAAATTTGTAGGGCATCTTACAAATTTAATGATGGAGTTTCATTGACTTTTATAGAGGTGTAGCTGCCTAGAAATGTATCCCTTCCTTTCATCAATACTTTTTTCAAAAGCTGACAATGATTAGTTTCAAAATGTCTCTTTACATTCCATGTTCTGCTTACTACTGTTTCATAACACAGTATGCATAATGATCTGCTGTTTCTGTCGACAATCCCTTACATCTCGGTCCATATGTCTTGAAAGGGTCGGCTACTGCTATTTCCACTTCCTTTATCATTCAATCTTGCTTTTTTATTTTTTTGTATTCTCCAACACAAGGCTGCAAAAATAAATAAATATAAATCACGGTGTTTTTAATAAAAGGTTGATAGGTTTCTTACCTATTAACTTTTTGCAGTGTTGTTGCACTGACTCCTGGTGCAAAACAATTCAAAGATAGTATGTATAACCAACAAATATATGGTGCTGAATCAATTATCCGACATGCAGAATGTCTCCTCGAGCACTGTAGCACTGTATATCTTTTTCTTCTAACCCTCCCACTCCTGTCTCCTAAGGAACATGGCGATCAAGTGCCTCCGTTTGCCGAATGCACCCGAATGCGCGGGAAGCTTACCCGAGACACATGTTGACAATAATGAGGCCGTTTCCAGAATTGGGCATTTTGTCACTCAAGTAAAAATAAAATGTCATGAGCAAAGATAATTCTTAACCTTTTTATATTCATGTCAATATTGGAACAATGTACCTTGGATGTTTTCACTATGTACCTTTGCTACGCAACACCGATGTACATGTTTACATCCGGTTTTAGAATTGCATTATTGATCATGAGTAATGTGAGTAATAATATTACTCGAGTGATGCCCAACTCTGGCCATTGCAAGAGACAAATATTTGAATTATGCAATTTTTTGTCTCTGTCGATGCATGTCACCCAAAATGAGTTCGCGTGTCACCTCTGACACGCGTGTCATAGATTCGCCATCATTGCTCTATCCACTGAGCCAAACCGGTTAGGGCCTTTGTCCATTTTTTAATTGTTTTTTTTTTGTTGTTGTTTTATTTTTGTCATTGAGTTGTAGGAGTTCTATCTCTATCGGTCTGTCTCTATCTATCTATCTATCTATCCATATTCTGGATATTAACCCCTTATCAGGTATGTGATTTGCACATTTTTTTTTCTCCCATTCCATGGGGTGCCTTTTCATTCCATTGATAATGTCCTTTGATGCACAGTTTTTATTTTAATTTAACCCAATTTTTCTATTTTTTTAAATTCTTTATTGTTTAAGGTATTACATATTTCTCCTTTTTTCCCCATTGACCTCTCCCTGTTTGTTCCCACACCCTCCCCCAGCACATACCCTCACCCCCCTAGTCCAATTTTTCTATTTCTTTTGGTTGCTTATGTGTTTGGTGTCATATTTAAGAAATTATTGAAAAATCTAAGGTCCTGAAGCTTTTCTCCTATATATTTTTCTAAGAGTTTTATGTCTCACATTTAGGTCTTTTATCCATTTTGATTTACTTGTTGGTGTGTGTATTTTGACTTACTTTTTGGTGTATGGTGTAAGACAAAGGTCCAATTTCATTCTTTTGCACATGGATATCCAGTTTTCCCAGTACCATTTGTTGGAAAGACTACTCTTGCTCAATTGAATGATCTTTGCACTCTTATCAAAAATAATTTGGCCCTAACCGGTTTGGCTCAGTGGGTAGATCGTTGGCCTGTGGACTCAAGGGTCCCAGGTTAGATTCCGGTCAAGGTCATGTACCTTAGTTGTGGGCACATACCCAGTAGGGAGTGTGCAGGAGGAGGCTGATCAATGTTTCTCTCTCATCGATGTTTCTAACTCTCTATCCCTTTCCCTTCCTCTCTGTAAAAAAATCAATAAAATATATATTAAAAAAAACACAATTTGACCAAATATATGAAAGTTTAGTTTTGTGACCTTTATTCTATTCTATTGGTTTACATGTTTGTTTTATGCCAGTACCATACTGTTTTGACTCCTGTAGCTTTGTAATAAGTTTTGAAATTAGGAAGTATGAGACCTCCAACTGCTCTTTTTCAAAATTGTTTTAACTATTTGAGGTCCCTTGAAATTCCATATACATTTTAGGATGGACTTTTCCATTTTTTAAGAAAATCTTTGGGATTTTAATAGGTCCATCATGTTTTTAGAATGCATGAAGGAAGAAATGAATAAAAGAATGAATTTTAAAAGCTCATTTATGCCTATTATTATGGAAAGCATGTCCGTTATAAAAAAAAAATCTTTAGCAAAATGTCCTAAATAATATGGGAGATTTCTCCATGAAAGAAAGACATTTTTTTCTACAAGTCAAATTCCATTTAGATGTACCTATTTTTATTTTTCAAAAAGATTTAACACAAATTACAATTAAAAGAATAATCTATACTAATAAAAGGGTAATATGCTAATGAGACCGGGAAACCTTCTGGGAGACCGGATGTCCTTCTGGACAAAGCCATGGTGGCGAGGCCGAGGCAGAGATGGTTAGTGGTGAACAGGCTGTCAGGGGAGTGCAGTTAGGGGGATCAGACTGGTGGGGGAGAGCAGTTAGGGGGACCAGGTTGGCAGGGGAGGGCAGTTAGAGGGATCAGTCCAACAGGGGAGAGCAGTTCAGGGGATCAGGTTGGCAGGCAGGAGAGTCAAGGGGTCCCAGATTGGAGAGGGTGCAGGTTGGGCTGAGGGACAACCCCTCCCCCCCGCCCCCATGCATGAATTTCGTGCACTGGGCCTCTAGTTTATAAAGAAAGAAAATTAATCTTTATCATGAAGGTCACAAATATTTTTCTCAGTTATTTAAATTTTGGTTGCATTTATAGCATTTTTATACAGAACATTTTAATTTTTAGGTAATAAAATTAATCACTTTTTATGGCTTCTGAAATTTATAATATGCTTAGAAAGGATTTTATTTTACTCAGGGTTAAAAACTGATTTAGCCATGTTTTAATCTAATGCATTTCTGTTTTATTATTTATAGGTAAATCCATGTCTATTAAAAGGAGGTTATACTAGAATCTAGGTTATAAGATTGGGGGAGTTGGGAGGAGGACATTAACTTTTTACCTGTACATTCTTATTTATTTTAACACTTTTTAAGGAGACTATATTAATTGCTTCTGTAAAATAAGTAGACATAATAAAATGCATTTGTTAATAAAGTTATGAATTATTGCATATTAATTTTAGAATTAGCATATTACTCTTAGTAAATTATCTCATGATTTCTAACTTTTGGATTCTTTTTCTTAGTTTTTCTAAATTTGGAGTTATGTCACCTGCAAAGAATGATAATTTGTTCCATTTATTTATTTATTTATTTATTTATTTATTTATATCCTCACCCAAGGATATGTTTTTATTGATTTTAGAGAGAGAGGAAGGGTGAGAGAGAGAGAGAGAGAGAAACATTGATCAGTTGTCGCCCATTCTCATCCAACTGGGGATTGAACCCTCAACCTAGGTATGTACCCTGACCAGGAATTGAACCCACAACCTGTTGGTGTATAGGACAATGCTCCAACTGACTGAGCCACCTGGCCAGTGCTATTTCTCTTATTTTAAAAATTATATTGATACTTAGTGAACAACACTAAATAATAATTTGATATTAGCCAAAGTTTTTACTTAATGTAAATACTTATTTAAGCACTAGAGGCCTGGTGCACAAAAATTTGTACACTCGAGGGTAGGGGGTCCCTCAGCCCAGCTGTGCCCTTTCGCAGTCTGGGACCCCTCAGGGGTGATCACTTGCTAGCTTAGGCTTGCTCCCGGGGGGATTGGGCCTAAGATGGCAATCAGACATCCCTCTGGTGGCCTAGCAGCCCC